AAGAGACAAAATTTTTAAATTATTTTAAACTTTTAATTTCTCAATTTAAACCATTACTGCAGTGAACAATGCTGTATGTAACTTATAGAAGCAAAGGTTCTTTTTAACCCTAAGGAATATAGACATTTCTTGAGAACTTATACTCCAAGAGTGATGCTGTTCCTGATACTTTTATCCTGAGGGAAGATAAAAGATCATACTCCACATTTTCCTCATTCTTAGCTTCCTCATTTCATATAATGTAAAGTTTAGAAATTCTATGGGCCTACTTGTAAACTAAATAAAATAGTGAATGCCATTTTTTTTCGGTCAAAAACATATAAATGCCTCTCCCCACATGCGAAAATCATTGCAGCATACCTTTTGGTAACCTTTCTACACAAGTAATTTATAGCAAATTATCCTAGGTCTGTTTAAAAGCCAAAATTAAGATCTTTAACATTCCATTGCTTTCTTTTTCTGAGTTTGTTCCTCTGGTAGTACTTAGCTCCTAACTCTATATTTTCCTCTAAAACATTCCTTCTTGTTATCCACTCTAGCTCCCCTTATAGARCCCCATATTCTCTTTCCTTTTGTTTGTTGTTATTTGTTTGTCTGTTTCATTTGCACCTGGAATGCAACCATGGTTTCTCTTCAAGAAAACCAGAACAATGTTTCATGAGAATCTTCATCCAATCAGTACTTTCCTAAATCAAAACCTAACAAGTCATTTCATTTGTTGTTAACATGTTGCTAATTTTTGTGTCTTTTTTTTTTCCAAAGGAATGAAACTTCCAAGTTAGGTAAAATTAGAGAGAAAATCAATATTGATGCCCAAATGTGCAATTTTTAGGTGTTTTTCAGAACTATGAGGTACTTATATCTTCCCCTCCCAACCCAGCTGGTATCAAGATATGATATTTTCCTTGTTAAGAATGTGGCATATGGGGCTGGGGTTGTAGTTAAGTGGCAGAGCACTTACCTAGCATGTGTGAGGCACTGGGTTTGATCCTCAGTACCATATAAAAATAAATAATAAAATAAAGGTATTGTGTTCAACTACAACTAAAAGCATTCTTTTTCAAAAAAAAAAAAAAAAGAATGTGGCCAACTTTCTCTGGTTATCATACAAGGCCAACCATGGTCTTCTATCATTTCCTCATTTCACATTTCTCCTCCCTCTCTCATTACCTTTCCTCTCCATTATTCTGCCCTCTTCTTCTCTCATCCCTTCCCCTGAAGCAATCAAGTTTCTGCCCGGTACCTTAGGAATCACATAATAGGCAAGGGTGTGAGCTCTGCTGCCAAATGCCTGAATGAATCCCAACCACAATGTCTAGTTGTGACATTGTACAAATCTCTTGGCCTCTTTGTGCTTCAGTTTCTTCATTTGCAGAACAAACATTAGGTGACTTAATTCATAGAGCTGTTGTGAGATAAAGTAAGTTAATAAGCTATTAATAATAGTGCTTGGATAACAATAAGAGCTTACGACATGTAAGATGTTATCTATATGTGATAATCACTTAATATAATGTGTGAGCTAAACCTAGTGAGACCGGAGCAAAAACAACTTTATGTTTCTTATTGTTGTTCTGGAAAATCCACTCTGCAAATTCATCTCCTGGCTCTGGTGATAAATAAAACTTCAGGCCATTCCCATAGCTTTCCCAATCACTTCTGAGTGAGGAAAAGGCCAAACTTKTAGATTTACATCCAATTTTAAACTTCTACAGTAGAACTTAGAGATCTATAATTTGTAAATATGGAGGATAAGTATACTTGATAATTCTCTTTGCATTTTCTTGCTCTTCTTTGAACAGCTAGCTGCTGTTTGTAGTCCTTTCAGGGTTGAGATGTGAGGGTGTTGAAGGGGAAGAGGAGTCCAAAGGTAAAGATAGATTTTACCTGACTGGTACAATTGTGGTCCGGCATCAGTGATCCTTGGGTTTGGTAGGTTACTAGTGCCTGTTACTTTTTCCACTTTGAAACACATTGATGGCTTCTGTTGTAGGGCATTTCTCTCAGCCCAGTTTCTCTGAGTAGTCAATGAATGGCTCCTCATCTGCCTACTGTCACTTTTGTCACTACTCTCCCATTCTGTTTCCTGTGAGGCTCAGGTGGTATTTCCTACAGGGAACACATCCCATGCAGGGCTTCTTCAAGGAGGCTCAGGTCTGGTTCCTTTCTTCAGAGTATATATATTTAAATTATTTTAAACTTTTAATTTCTCAGTTTAAACCATTACTGCAGTGAACAATGCTGTATGTAACTTATATAAGCAAAGGCATATATATATGTGTATATATATATAATTAATGGCTCATGCATGAAAAACTGATAATATTATAATATATAATATTATAATATTATATTATAATAATAATATTGTATAATAATTAAATACATTTATATAATTATAATATTATAATATAATATTATATAATAATACAATGATATTATAATATTATCAGTTTTTCATGCATGAGCCATTAATTATATATATATTATTATATAATCATATATATATAATATAAATAAAATGAGTATAGCAATAAAATGAGTATAGCTGCTAGAAGTAATTATATATAAATATATATATAATTACTGGCTCATGCATGAAAAACTGATAATATTATAATATTATAACATTATAAGATTATATAATATTATAATGTTATAAGATTATAATATTATTTTATAATAATTATATGTATATTTATATAATATTATAATTATATTATAATATTATATTATATAATAATATAATGATATTATAATATTATCAGTTTTTCATGCATGAGCCAGTAATTATATATATATAATTATATATATATATATATATATATATACATATACATATATATAAGCCTTTGCTTATATAAGTTACATACAGCATTGTTCACTGTAGTAATGGTTTAAACTGAGAAATTAAAAGTTTAAAATAATTTAAATATATATATATAATATATATATAGAGAGAGGGAGACTCTGCAGAAAGGAACCAGACCTGATATATACATATATATATGAATTCACATATATATATATATATGTGTGTGTGTGTGTGTATATATATACACACACACATAACTGTTTTGTGAGTGAAAACTGATGGTGTCTTTTAGGAGAGTGATTTTTCAGTGTATATTAAAATAAAAACTCCGTGTAACTTTGGCCCAATTACCAAACCTGTCCTAAAAAAAAATGCCAGCAGAACTACCCAAATATGCAAATGCTAAAATGTTTATCATTGCATTTCTTGGAATTTTTTAAAAAATCAAAATAAACTTGAGTGTCCATCAAAAAGGAATAACAAAATTAATCATGATGCATCCAACATAGTGGRTATAAAAGTTAAATAAAAAAGCTGAAGTGCTAAGTGGATGTTTCAAAGATGTATTAAGTAGGGGAAAAGGCAGTGTAAAAATAATATAAATGATACATTTGAATAAGAAAATTGAGAAAACCAGGTATATTTCYTTGTATGTATGCACATAATTACATTTATAAATGCATAGAAAAAAGTTCAAACCAATGTTATGAAAAATAGTTTAAATTGATGAGTGGTTCTGTTTGAAGAAAGGACTAGAAATGGTGAGCAGAGGTCAGGTAGGACTTTAGCATTTACAATGAGAATATGCTACAWGTGTGATTATACAGAATTTTACGAACATTTTAATTGCAATAAAATGAGTATAGCTGCTAGAAGTAATCTTTACGATTCTCAAATATAACTTTCAATTTCCATATTAATAGATCTCCTAATTCTCAGAAGAGTTTATGAGAGTATTCATCATCATGGAGTAATATTTATCCTATTAAAGAGAGTCCTAAATAATAGCTACTCACTTCTAAAAGTCTGACAAACAATAATTATGATATCTTTGCTATGGGTGTAAGTTTCTAAGGTCACACATGCAACTATGCTTTTCAGATATAAACTAGACAAATTTCAATTCACAGTGCCTTGATTTTATTACAATAATAATAAAACAATTCCCATTGATATTGTACTATGCCTAAAGAGAGTGATGATATTCTCTGAGGAGCAAATATTTATTTATTTATTTATTTATTTATTTATTTATTTATTTATTTTGACAGCACTGGAAATTGAACCCAGGGCCTCAAGCAAGCATCTACCACTGAGCTATAACCCTAAGCTCTCTTAAGTTTTTTGTTAATGTATATAGTTTAAAACAATATCACTTTGTGATATTTATTTTGAAATCATAATGTGTTGTTGAATTACAAACATAAAATTATGATACTTCTTAAAAGATTAAGTATTATGTTGAAAACATAAATAGAATTATGTGAATGTACTTTGTATTTTCCCTATGCAGTACCTACATGAAAATGGGATTGTACATCGTGATCTCAAACCAGAAAATCTTCTCTATGCAACACCAGCCCCAGATGCACCACTCAAAATCGGTGAGAATATTTCCTGATGTTTCATGACCACTTTACTCAGAGCAGAAGAAATTTGTTCTGTGAAATTTTAAAACATTGTTCCATCCCTAATTTGAATTTTGGAGGAATATGCATTATTTTAGAAGTTCATGCTTTATCCTGGAATGTTAATCCAGAAATCAGTGCTAGAAGTTGGTGCTTCTTTGTTAGAGACACAAAGAAATTTTGGTCCTTACCAATAACATACCTGAGGAGATGACCTTGTGTTTTGTAGATAAGTTTATAGGGGAAGGAGGGGGAATGATAGATTTAATGCTTCCTTTGATATTGACTCCTATTTTACAAATTATTTGGAGTCTAATTTTAGATAATCAAGAACTTTGATTCAAAATACTTGGTACATATTGATGAATCTGGCCTCTGAGACATTTGTTTATATAACCAGATATAAATTAAGGTCTGTATTTCCCAAAATGTACTTCATAGAACTCTGGTGCCTAGGCAAGGTAAATAAAAGTGAATAAGACCTTTTTGTTGGAGTGGTTTGCAGAGGTGCTATGGTTGGTCAAATAAGTTAGAAAATGCCAACTTAAACTTAAGCAGSCTTTGTATTTCTGCAGCACTTCCAAGAACCTTAAAAAATATTAATGAATAGACTGACATATTATATAGTGCACTACAAGGATTTCCCCAAAGTTTGTTGACTCTTTTTTTCCCAAATAAACATTTTGGAGGAATACAAAGATGAACTTTGAGAAATTCTGATCTACCCAAAGAAAAATTTAAATCAGTGTATTAGGAAATGATGTATTAAATGCTATTTTCCACAGAACTTCCTAATCATCATTTCCAAAAATGTTTAAAAACTTTACATGAATTCTCCTTAGCAGAATTTGTACTAAAACCTCTGAAAGGCATTGTATTTCTGGTGCCGTCTGTCACAGCGCTGAGCTGATGTGTTCACTGCGTTCACAAGCGTTACCAACTTTGAAAATCAAGCTGTTCAATGAGGGAAGAGCCTAGACAACAGAATGTGCCTTATGAATGCAAGAACCTAAAGAAAAAAATCCTGAAAGTCCTGCTGGCAGTAAGCTTGTTCTCATAATCACTCCTGAAAGGCAGCAGACAGCAGGGAGTTTCCATTTCCTTTGACATCCCTTTCAAAGATTTGATCCTTCAAGAAATTTCTTTAAAAGGATGGATAGATACTAATTTAGGCAGGAGAGCCTTTCTTTCTGAAGGGCTTCCTGCTGCTTTCACTGATAAGGATCAGGCACCTCCCTGGAAATGTGGGTTTACCTTTGAAGTCTAAAATGGTCTCAGTTCTGCACCTGCCTCTCTTGAAGAGTGGCCTTGAGCATCTTCCTGATGTTTCCTGGGAGAGAGATGAGGCCCAGCAAGAGATCACAATGGTGGCACCTTTGATAATAACGTTACTTAGGTAATACTTTGTGGATTAAGTAAAAAGGATTTTTGCATTAAAAAGACATTTGTCATATGAAAGTAAATTATTATCTGTCAAATATAATAGGTCAGACATTATTTCTCTTCAGTCAGAAAATGTCTTGATATTTCTGTTTATTTCCACRACATTTATGAAAATCTAATTTTTTTAATCTTCAACAATGGAAGATTCTGAGTGATACCACTAAGTCTATATCATCTCTTATAGTTACTGTCACATAAATCTCAGAATTAATAACAAGAGACAAAATATCACAACTATTAATTAATAGTTGCTTAAGAAAATAGCTTATTTGGTAAAAGCTTGGAATTTTTTAGAAGAATGAGGGTTAAATATGAATTTATTTGCAAATGTTTTTGGGGAGTCATATTTTTCTCCTACTTAAATAACGACTTTTTCCTTAGCTTCCTCTCAGGTGACTTGTTCCCCACACATGTGTACCCCACCATCAAATACAAAAGCAAACAAATAAATAATTATTTTTGGTAAAAAGAAAAAGTATTTATAAAAACAGAAAAGATTTGCTTCATTAATTTTTTTTCTTGTGTTAATAGCTGATTTTGGACTCTCTAAAATTGTGGAACATCAAGTGCTCATGAAGACAGTATGTGGAACCCCAGGGTACTGCGGTATGATCTTTGAAACTGATATTTTACCTTTTTTGAAATCTATTTTTATTTAATGACCCAATTTTTATTTTTAACACCTAATATCTCTATTTATAAATGGCTAAAACTGGTGTGAGTCTCTATGACCACCTCCTGTTCTTCCTGAGGGGTTCAAAATGATGTTTGTTTTAGGACATCTCTGTTAAAATGTCTTTTGGGCAGGAGCTACTCTTGRACTCACTCAAGAATAGAAAGGCAATCCCCAGGAATAGGACAGGGAAGTAGCAGAGTTTATGCTTGGCCAAGAGCCTTCTGTCATTTTCTTATTTKCTCTTCCTTAGGAGGGTATTTTAGGAAACAGGGTGAATTTATTCAGATGGTATACTGGATAACATGAAAATGGTGTAATCTTTAGGTTTCATTCATGTCGATGGCCTAGCTACCCCTGCCCCCCAAGACAAAGACWTCAGGTGCAAGAAAGTTCCTCCAATCCTGCAGGTGAACCATGCTAAGATCCTGGTATCCTCTTGCCTGATCTCCCAGAACAGGCTGGAGGTGCCCTATGTATAGTCTATGATCAATCCAGAAACAGAACAAAATCTTTTTGTCCATCCTAGCATGAAAGTAGTGGTTTGTTTTTTTCCTGATGGCTGTGTTAATCCAACAATAACCTAAAAACCCAATAAAGCTTGCCAAAATTAGCTAGAATTCATATAATTTTGGTGATTAATGAATATTCCACAAATCAATTAAAATCCTAATGTAGATGAAAAGGAAAAGAGATGAAAGTGTATGTCATCAGTCACAAGATTATCAGTCATCGACTTTTCCTCCCAAGATCTGACTTTTTACATAAATCTTTATCTCACTCATTTCTTCAGCAAACCTGTATTAATTGGCACTRTATAGTGAGTTCACTGCATGGCACCAGGGTGATACATCTCTACACTAACCCCACTCCAGGGAGTGAGAACTGACAGAACAGACWTGCAAACCCCCAACTTACAGCACCTTGAGAAATACCAGGTTAGGGTCATTATGAAAACACAGGGAAAGAGGGGCATTTGGAGTTACTGGACTTGTTCTTCTAAATCACACCTTAGAAATAGAGAAGAACTATCTAACTAACTCATTTTAACAACTTTTGGATATGTAGAAATCAGATTTGAGAAGGGCAGTAAAATATTCTTTGAAGCAAATATATGACTAAATTGGGCYGGGGTTGCAGCTYAGTGGTAGAGCACTTGCCTAACACATGTGAGGCACTGGGTTCAGACCCTCAGCACCACATAAAAATAAAAAATAAATAAAATAAAGGTATTGTGTGCATCTACAACTAAAAAATAAATAATAAAAATATGATTAAATCTACAGAATTAGATGTTGGAAGGAACCCTGAGTTTATTAACATTCTCATTTTACAAAGATCTAGAGAGTTTAAGTGACTTCCCCAAAATTCCACATCTAGTTATTAGTGGCCTGGGTTTGAGACTCCAGGTATTGAAGGGCCTAGAAATGCACAGAATTTCCCCTTTAAAAATCAACATAGATAAGTCAGCATATTATTCCTTTTATTTAAAAATGTCTTCTATTTTAGTTATTTGAACCTCAGAAGTATTACTTGCAAAAGTAATTGCAAAAAGAGTAAAAATCAAAACGTGTAGTCAATATTAATAGCCTTATGTACCTTCTTCTATACCTCTCCTTATTACTCCAGGTTCATGTAAGCATTTTATATTTTTGCTTTTAATGAGTTAGTTTCCCTGGTGAATTTTGCACACTATTTTCTTCCAACTTAATTTTTCATAATTCCAATAACTGCGTAGATTTAGGTGTATCTGTCTTTCTGTTAAATCTTTACATTGTGCCAAGTGTTCTTGTCTGGATCCTAACCTCTTTGAGGCCAAGAGTAATATGTCAGTTAGTAGTAAGTTCAGAAAAACCCAATTGTGTGTCTTAGACAAGGTAGAAGTTTCTCTTATGTTAGAAGTCTAGAGATACACAGTCTTTGTGGCTTCCATTGCAATGGCTCTGCAGGTTCTATGGATCTCAGTATCAAGGACCCAGTCTCTCTCACAATCCAAAATGGCTGTTTGAAATCAGTCATTACATCAGCAGAAATTTTAAAAATTGGAAAAAGATGTACTTTTTTGTAATTAAACAGACTTGCTGAAGCCCCATGTCACTTCCACTTATATCTTAATAGCCATACTTAGTCACAAACTCTACTCTGTCTGGGAAGCTAGCAATGCTTCTTTKGGTTGGACATGCTGCTATCCTAAGTTAATTCAGTATTCTGTTACTAAATGTCTTAGTTCATTCAGACTGCTATAACAAAATACTTTAGATGGGATAACTTATAAACAACAACAATTTATTGAGTTGATGGTTTCTCTTGAGCTTTTTATGTAAGGGCACTAATTGCATTCACGAGGGCTCCACCCTCATGATCTGATCACCTTTCAGAGGACTTATCTCCTATTATCTACCACCTTGGGAGATGTTAGGACTTCATCATCTGAATGTTGAGATGGCACAAACATTTAGACCACAGCATTAAGAATGAGGTTGAGGAATTTGGGGGGTGGCTTAGTGGTAGAGCCTGGAATGCATTAAGACCTTGGGCTTTATCCGTAGCACCTAAAAACATTTTTTTTTAATGAGTTTGGATTACATAATTCATCATAGACTTACAAGATAAGATTCCATGCCTGGGGTGGGGGGGAGTGAAAACCATTTCACTCTACCATGTTTGCTATAGGCATTCTTTTATTTTGTTTTAATGCTTTTCATTTTCCTTAGAACTGACCTCTGTCAATCCCTCTATGGCCCTTCCCTCCTAGTAATGCCATACATACTTTCCCTGTCTCTGAGTCATGTGTCCTTATTTGTCCTTCYGTATTTCTTTCATGTGTCCAGGTGTCTAAAGCGATGGAGGTGGAGTTAAATTAGTACCATGTGCCAAACAAAACTGTCCACTTAGCCTGGTATGGTGGCACACACCTATAATCCCAGCAATTTGGGAGGCTGAGGAAAGATGATTGCAAGTATAAGACTAACCTCAGCAAAACTAAAATAAAAAGGTCTGGGGATATATATAGTTCAGTGATAGACAGCCYGTAGTTTAAATCCCCAGTAAAGTCCCAGTATCAAAAAACAAAAACAAACAAATCCTTGCATTTATCATTGCTAATGTTGACCAATTGATAGGAGGATTGAAAGAGAATTGAGAAAAGAACAATAAAACAAATTAAGGATTCCCCATAAGAAGAAAGCTGATGGACAATTTAATAATCATTACCCAATTCTAAACATTGAATATTCCCCAAAGGTGGGTAGATTGCAACGAATTTCCGAGAACTGAGCAGATCTGAAATGGGAGGATCAGAAAGAGGATCAGAAACTAGTGATGTCTCAGAATCCCTTTTGTGACTGTGAACAAGCAGTGCCCTTTCAGGGACTAGTGATGAGTGCAGTTCTTTCTTATAGCATTACAGAGTGTCCATTCTGCAAGAGAGGCTGATTCACTCAGGGATAAAACAAACACTGAATGTCTAATAGACTCCATGTTAACTTCTGAGGTTACAAGGATAAACACAATGTGGTCTTGCTCTTTAAAGATTTCATAGTCTATAAAAGAAGAAAGGCCYTTACATAGTAAATCAGATAAGTCAAGATTTATCTGAGCCAAAGTCTCAGGAAAACAGAAGGAAGTGAACTATTGATCCTGGTTGAAGAGGTCTTCTAAAGGAGGGGCATTTGAATTGAAGATTGAAGGATAAATAGAAGTACAACAAGTGGGGCTGCAGGACATTCCTTTGTCAGTGGTCACAGGGAAAGTGAAGTTATGGGGAAGCGGCAACACCTGGCAAGTTCAGAGGCTGTTTGTCACTTTGCCACTTTGTAAGACTAGAACACAGAGTTCTTGATCAAAGGTAYAGATAGATTTGGAAAGGTAGGATGAGCTATATTTGAAAAAAATCTGCACTTCAGGCTAAGGAATGTGATGATTTGGTAGGTAATGATGACTCAAAAAGTTTTTGAATCAAGACAGTGTTTTGATTTTTTTRTTTTGTTATTTTTCTTTTTTGAAGAGATGAACCCAGGGTCACTTAACCACTGAGCCCCATCCCCARCCCTTTTCATTTTTTATTTTGAGACAGGGTCTACTTAGGGCCTTGCCAAATTGCTGAGGCTGTCCTTGAACTTTTGATCCTTCTGCCTCAGCCTCCCAAGTTGCTGGGGTTACTGGCATGCACTACTACGCCTGGCCAGGACAGTATTTTGAAATCAAGAGAGTGTTTATGTATACCATTTGTCATTTTATAAATATCTGGATTATGACAAAACGGATGGATTTGAAAGGGAAAGAGAAAGAAAATGGACAAATTAGAAAGCTGTTTTAAATGCTCTTTCATGCTTTTTCTAATGGGAGAAATGTATACACATGCTCTCACTCCTTAAATACCATCTCCAGGGATAACATATTTGCTCTACTCCTAAATCCAGTCAGATTTTAAATACAATATGATTGTTAAAAAAAAAACAACAGTAGTTTACTATCTTGTCCGTGACATAAATGTGCTCATTTTATAGATAATGTCATCTTGTCTTGGAGGTTTGTTTTCTGTTGATTATTTTTGTCCTGCTGATGYGTATGTCACCCTTGAGGCTACAGAACAGGAAAAGAGGAAGCTGAGTGGCTGAGAGGGCTTACACTAATCCTTCTGTTCTGCTCTAGGTAGTGGTTTGCCCGGAAGGAGTTATTTTCCATAATGTAAGGAGGGGAGAGGCCTGCAGTGTAGGTAGCTCTGCTGACCTCAGGGAAATATTCTGGGGATTGAGAGGGAAGATAAAAATGTTCTGTGCACTCTAAACATACCTATGGGATTACTATCATTTATATAGGATGGAGCAGACTTGGAAGTAAATAATGATTAAGGTTAATATATTTATATACAGAAGCAAGGTTCAAATTGTATATAAATAAATACATATTTTATTCATACAAATTCTTGGCT